CTTGGTAAATCCAAGTAAGTAATGCCGCGTTCTTAAGTGAAAACCGGATATACAACAAAGGAACAAACAGGAAAACTTAGTTCGCTCATGGGATGTGCATCAATGACATGGTTGGGTAATCTCTAAATAAAAGAGTAAATAGCATGGACAATGTGACCGCTCACGAATAACAGGATTTTGAAGCTTAGGTGGCACATTATTTCACACATGTATATATATGTATTTAATTTCTTAATTTCATTTGATTTTCTTTTGCTCTGAGATTTTTGTATGAAACTTGTGAAACCGTTTATCTTTGTAAATGTTTCACACCCTGACAAATATATCCTGTGTCAAAGGACAAGAATATTTGGACTTTTGTAAAAAAAAAAAAAAAAACAAAAAGGGTATTTTGTTAACATGGTGACATTCTATATATGGTAATTTAAAAATAATCATTACCGGTTAACATATGATAATTATAAAATATTAATGCCGCCATTTTGTTTCTAATGCTACATCCCGCAGTAGGTCATTTGTGCGTTTGAAAGAGCCAGTATTGCAAAGCGTCTGAACAATGTTCCTAAAAACTGCTGATTTTATCTGTTTTGCTCTTCATTTAACTCATAAATTTTTTTTACAATCAAATAAATTTCGGACCACATCAAATGTCACATGACCCCAATGATACACAGCAATATATGTATATAAATATCTATTCTGGTTTACTTCTAATGATAACAATAAAAAAGAACTCAAAATGATCAGTCTTCCGCTTTGTTGTTAGGGACTTGATAATTAAATAAATACCTTAATATAAGCTGTACTGGTTATGTATGTAGTAGGAAGGAGCCATAGTGTGATCCCAAAAATACAAAAAGAGAAAATTGATAAAATATGTTTCCCAGAATGATACAGAAATATATTTACAGAATGTCATTTTCGTTAAAATATTAGCTTAAAGAGAAAGCAAAAAGCTTTATACTGTAATAACATTGAGATCAATAATCTCAATTAATAATAACTCGTGTAAAACTGTTTCAAGAATTTGCCAGAACCAGCAGTCGAGACGATCTGTATTCCCTATAACAAATTTATAATCAAACGCTTGTATTTGACCATCACATGTCATACAGAAGTCCTTTTCACTTAGGTATATACTCCTTTAAGAAGCAAAAAATATCACTATTAAACCTATTTTTCCTTTCATGATATTTTTTTATGATTTGTCGTGATAATTCGTGCAAAATTTAATTGAAATCTACCCTAGCCTTCCAGAGTTATACTTAAGAGACTTAAGAGACCTTAGCAACAAAAAAAACGTTGAAATACGCCGTCAAAAAAGTAGTCCATAAGTAATATATTTCTTCAAAACGTCATAAAATCGCCTTTTTAAAGTTAATATGTACAGCTTCAAATAACAACATGTATAAGAACACAAAATATATTAAGATGTTTGACAACCTGTATTATAATTTACAATACGATCAAAAAGACGTACCTCGATCGACCGTTTTTCCTCAGGAGTGATATACTGAAGTCTGGTTTAGATTTCATTTGTATACATGCGATTAAAAGCAGTCACGTCTTGAAATAATGTATTTTTTAATGATGTCTAACGGTATTCAGACTCAGCACTTGTATCATATAACTGGGACAGATTTATGCTTTATTCTCACTTATAACGAAGTCTCATTGATGTTGTAGGTCGCTAGGAATGTATTGATTTTACAACCTCAGTTCTCAGTACTAACAAGTTTATCGTATGTCTATAGTTGTAATATCATCACACAAAATGCAGGAAAATGTTTAATTTGCAAAATATGAAAGGTAAATTGCAGTATTTTTTTTCACTGAAAGCGACATTATCTCCACTTTAAGTTTTTGATAAAAATTTATAAAGCAAAATGTTCTTTGTAGGAAAATGTCCTTTGGTAGCATAACTGAAAATTCTGAAAAAAGTGTGGCCTCTATGAACACTCATTATCTATGTGATTACGTACGAGTATCACAAGGTGATGAAACTCATCGAAAAACTTGTTGCATCTCCACCAGATGAACACAGATATCTCAAACGGAGCGAAATGAGACTTTATGAAGACTCGCAAGCAAATTACAGTAAATACAATAGAGAAAAGCCAACTGCATCATAGAGCTACTGCGTGCTATTTGGTCCAAGTTGACGGTCTTAAACATTAGAGTAGGCATCACGATTGCCATATTATACCGAAATATATTACCATCCAAAACGACGAACATGTCAACCAGAAATTTTATCATTTTTATGAATCCGTCTTCCGTAGATTTCTTTTTACATATGGACGTAAACTACGTATTTTTAAGATACTCATCAGTATAGTTCTCAAACGTAAACTTGAACTACTGTTCATCTTTCTTTGAAAAGAAACCTTATATGACAAGAGAACGGAGGCGTCCCTTCAGTTAAAAGTGGAGTATAACGATCTCTTTGGTAGCAAAACATACCAATATTTGAAAAATAATTATAATCCGATTTAATAGAATTTAATAGAAATTGGGTTTAAATGAAAGATTTATGCGTAGGCTCTTGAAAATGAAAAGAAGCATTATACCCGGTGTTCCGGATTGAGTAAGCGTTTTCGGCTTCATTGAGGACAAAAACTATGTAATTCCTTGATCAAACCGAAAAAAATAACGTCATGTTATAAAATGATAACAAAGTATATAACATTGGTACCAACAGGCAAACAATCTAGTAACACACCTCGCACAAAAATAACACATTTCTTATTGAGATAATTCCAACGACCGTAAAACTACTACATGTTTTTCCTCAACTTGCATCTTTTAAAATCTAATGTTATGGGTTTGTCATTCAGTTGACGAATTCGTGAAAAAATCGTGATAATCGGAACATAACCTTTCATATCGAATAAGCTACGACATGTAAAAAGCATAAACGATGGATGCAGGAATGTTGCTATCCAGAAATTGAATTTAAAATCTTCGTGGAAAGCTATACATGTTGACTTCGTTGAAGGAAAGATCGAGATAAACGGCTTATGGAGAAGAGTTGGAAGAGTTCTGGATTTACTATTCTGGTGGGTGTATACGATGGACGTGGTCAATAGATCTCTGTCTTATAAAGTCATCTATATATCTAAAAGCAAACTAAACACACTAAGGTCCCATAGGTATTGCAATTGTATGTTTGAAGATATTTCCACTATTCTCGTTGAAGATGTTAACCGGAAACTTGGACTACGAAATACACTTCAATATACTCCATAACTTTATCTTTGTACCGCTGTTCACATTTCTTGGAAAAAAAACTCTAATAACAAGAGTAGAAAGGCGTTCTTTCAAGTAAGGATGGGGTATGATGGTGTGATGATGGTGTACAGAGTGCAAAAAATCAAATGTTCTGTTTTGTAAAGAAATGTCTTTTTTAAAGAAGAGGATGTTTAAGATTAGTCAAAAACTCTTTGGAGTTCTTGAAAATCCACATACTATTAATTCTGATTCTTAATTAAATAGTATCACAATAAGCTGGTTAATAGTTTTTAAAAGGCTAGACAAGCCAGCAATAACGCGTTTGTATGGATCCTTATGAAGTGAATCCAACATAAAATATATGTGCTGAAGCACCGTTAAAGAATCAAACAACTTATCAATATACATCCTACAACTTGCTACCAATCTCTGAGATGCTCTGAACAAACACATGTCAAAACGACTTATTTTAATTTTTGCTTCATCTTCCAATGATTTTAACAATTTGAGCAACAAGTCCTACAAGGTCACAAAAGTGCTATGATTGTGTTCATAACATTAATTGGCTCTGCTATTTATATAATTAATTTTACAGACAATAATAGCTAAACTTCTATGAATCCAGCTTCGATTATTCCAACTTTTCAATGTATCGAAGTTTTTTCACTGACCGTAAGCCAGGATAACACGTGTGTTACAACGTTATTTAATGAGTAAACACAAGCTAAAGTTTAATTGCTAATTTTCAAGCCATGGTTTTAAACCAAGGATAATGGGACGTCGTGTGGTGTTACTGTCGCCATTACGGTAATGGCATATAGTCAGGTCTAATTGTGAATTGTGAATATAATCAAGTAAACCCTATTACTTGTATGATAAGTTCACTCACTTTTCAGTTTCAAGCATAAACGAATGAGAAACACGATTATTCATCTGTCAATCATGCGTTCCTCCTATTAATTCAGACTAGCCATTGTCAGAACATCATGTTAGTACTGTCGTTTCTGGACAGAATACATTAAGATATCATCTTGCCTTCATTAACATTCATTGATACCTATAACGCTTATGTATCAATCTTAAAATACTTACTGTAACACTTGACTTTCATTTTAATGCTGTGCGTTCTTTCATTTAAAATCGATCCTGAAAATACATATACTGTGTGACATGAAGGCACGAATGCAAACGTAGCATAAGCACGCTTAGTCGATTTCTCGTTCATTTCTGTTTAAAGATGTAAATGCCCGTTTTTATTTAAACTTGTGTTTTTGTATTTGTTGTGTTTGTTCAGGTAGAAATATCGTGTCATTATCTATAGCCATGAACACGAAAACGTCGATGTAACCCACTACGAATGATTTGAAGTCTTTAAGTTTTGGTTGGTAGTCCCTTTCTGGGATAGATGGAGCTCCTGTATTTACCAAGAGATGTAAAACTTTAATATTAGGCGGGATCTGTAAAGTACGAATATATACCTGAAGCTGTAAAGATCCTATACTTACTGGGAGATGTGATGCTCCAATATTTATAGAGAGATGTATAACGTGATTTCCTTACCGTTTATTCATATATATTATTCAAATACAGTTGTCATTTGATTGAAATGGAAAAAAACCAGAAGGAAAATCCTGTATTGTTTCTTTTATAAGAAGATTTATCGTAAAACTACCATAAAATCTCATTTCGGCGAATTTCAAATATTGCCTTGAAATAATTTATTCTTTAAAAAACATGAAATATAGAAATATGTCAGATTGTGTTGTACATATATTTTATCTACCGCATCCCTTTGAAGAAGATACTGCTTCCTGTTGGTAACGTTACCAAAGTCTCTCCATCAATTCTAGCACAAGAAGCTAGTTCATATAGGTGAGGTACTTTTTATATCCTCCGAAGCTTTATACTGACAGAAGGGTAAGTACCTCATCCCTCTCCACGACAGCCAGCGCGCGGGTATAAGAGGAAGGTACACTTCCAATCCCTCACTGTATGTCTGGGATTGTCCAGTTTTCTCCGGCTCCTGCCATGCTGTTATACCTCTTTCATTTGCTGTACCTGTCAACATACATTAAAGTGTCTTCTTGTTTTATCGTTGGTTGGAATCAAAAGTAATTGTTGTTCCATACCTCGATTTAGATTGATATGTAGTTGTAATGCATTGCTATATATTTTACCTTTTGGCACAAAACCGCTATATCTACAGTTATCATTTTATAACGTACTCTTAACAAATATATTTTTATGCGCAGTTTAATTTATACAAATGATTTGCAATGTTAAAAATTGTGAAATGAATAAAAGAGACAGGCTTAATAGATTTGCTTTGTGTAATAGGTAACAGTATATTTTAACTGACGACACAGCTGTATAATTTCGGCTAAAGCTTTGAGTATGGCTTTATCTTCCGTGTGAATTTGGTTCAAACAATATCATTCCGTTAGAAATTTGAGCGATTTCCGTATCACAGTAGGTTTGGAGCTCACGTTTTTTGCAAAATTGCTTTAATCGTGAATTTTACGAAAATATATCGTACAGAAAAGAAATTTAGTTTACATGTATAACGATGATCAGATGACTTACCAGGTACGGTGTTATCAAGAAAGGCCGCTAAGACTCCACCACACAAGATAGGGTTTGACAGCAATGTCTTTGCAATATTGTTGCCGTAGGCGCTGCCTAAAAACAGAACCTATTGATTAAATGACAATTAAAAACTACAATGGATATCATAGTAAGACGAATGTTTTATCGAATTGATGAATTCAATCATATAGTAAGGTGCAAAGCGTTTTAATTAATTATAGGATATCAATACAATAGTGAATATCGCCATGTCAGATATTAAATTACCATATAAGAAAAAAAATAAAACACTATTCTCGCTCATTGCTTCGTAATGGGAGTTTCAAACGAGACATCGGCTAGCATCACCAGGAATACACAGCATTACATATCAAAGTCGGATGTAAGTTACTTACGTTGATGCGAATAATGATAATGTCAGCCACGTATGTCTTATTTCATTGCTAACGTATGAGATAATGCCACGTAGCACCAAACTGTTTTCTGGTGGCTGAGATGTGTTTCTGTTATGTTAATACTGAGCTTGAAAAGCAGTTGTCTGCTAAAACATTTAAATAAGTACAGAGATTACCGAGATGTCAACGAAATCTTGATTCAAATTCAAATTCGTGTTAGGGCATAATATGGAGAAAAGAAAGATTAACACGGATACACCTGAAAAAGTACAAATAAAAAAACAGGTGTTCAAGGAGGGTAAGCGTCTTCTCTTTGATCACCCACAACGTTAATCTTGATTAATCCAGGAATGTTCGACCCAACGTAATACAAATAATGTTTCCACACATGTGGTGTTACTTCCTACCAATGTAACGAGTATTTTGCAATCGGGTGTAAATTTTATGTTGCGCGAAAGAGACCCTTTCTGTATATAGAGTTTGAAAAGTACGTCGCGATATCAACAATAGCAGGATTAGAGGAGAGTGAACGGTTTATCCCTTTTGATTCTCAGACTGGAAAGAGAAACATCGAGTTGTGAAATGATCTGTGTTGACGGAGGCAACAGGTACTTTAAGATATGGATTGAAAAAACAATGTAAATGAGTTTTAACTAATCATATTATCTGACAGGATACCACCTGAACACAAGCTATTCCTTGGTTGTATAATTGAAATCAGGTGGTTGGTACAAACACACTAGGCCGCTGTTTAATACAATGAATTTATAAAAGCCTAATAAATACAAATGTACATATATCATTTTTCATCATATATTATATAGGTGTCAATAATGTGTATTTATTAGGCTTGTATATATGCACGTGTAAAAGTTCCTGGTAATTGCAAGGGAGACAACCTAAAATTTTCATCAAATTTATGATAAAAAACGTTTTTATTTGTGTTATTTGAGTATTTCAAGTGCAAATAATTGAAATCTATACGTTAAATATGAAGTTAACCCTCTTTGCAATTATTGTTTATATTGTTTTCATTAATAAAATATTTGTTAAGTCGATATCAATTTATTTTTTCGCAATTTATTGTTTTTATATGATTTTTTTTAAGAAAATCGTGAAAGTGGAATCAAGTCCTTGGATATCGAATCAACTGTCATATAAATACACATGATGTCGATGCAAGGGTATGTTATTCAGAGATTGAAATCATATTGAACTAATCACGCTTATCATACAGCTTGGGTTTTTGAGAGTAATCCCTTTAACCTATCAATCAATGTACTGTTAACATATTGGCTACGTCACTCGCCTGTTTGGAGATCTTCCGGGTAAGTCTCTAACCAGTAGGGGACCATGAGACCCACAAGTAAAGAGGTCCCTATAATAGCTAGATTCCGCGTAGACGAAAGTGATATCACCTGGAGGTTGGAAAGGGCAATACCATTGAACATTCCATACATGACGATCATGGCGCCACCGAGAACTGGCACTGGTAAGGTTATGAAGACAGCGGAAACTTTACCAACAAGGCCAAACACTACATATATGAGCGATGTCCACAATAAAACGTCACGACTTGCCACCTAAGAAGAGAGAACAAACGTAATTTGAAAAACACTAACAAAGATATAGTTTGGGAAGAAATCAGAGCGAAAAGATCTCTTATATTTCATCTCTATTGGTATTTATTTTGAAATGATATAGGGTCAGCATTTAAAAATCTAAGACAATCAAGTCTATGAAATATCTTTTTACTTCATTATTACGCTTCACTTGTGACAGTAAGTCATGTGTCTTAGTGCACGTCCTGACTATATCAGATACAAACATTTGATATTACTGACATGGGTCAATTAATGTAATTTATCTAATAATGTACTGTAATGTGTTTAATATCTAATTATTTATTTACGTTTTTTTTCTAATTAGGAATATGTATATGTCAGTTAAATAAAATCATGTTCAGGTTAGGCAGAAATATAGGTAATAGTATTGTATTTTTATTATACATTTTGTATAAGTGAACTGTGTCCATAGACTTGTTCTAGTACTTGGACATGAGACATGCCCAGTAGACCTGACATGACCTCCATCTGGAGGGAAAGTAAGCTTGTTTTGGTGTAGGGCTAGGATCTTTATCAACAGAGTAGAGGTAGATTACGGAGGGGAAGCATCAGGGTTATGGAAGGAGGTGATATATTTTAGACAAAGTATAAAATGATTGATAGAGATAGTGTTAAAGTGTTAGAGTTATGCATCTTGATTTTAACATGTGTAGTCTAAATGAGCGTATAGCGTTAGCAATTGGGTCTCTCATTTGGTATAAACATTCAGGAAGTTGTGTGATGATGGTTTCCTTTTAAAAACTATTACATACTACTACACATTTCCGAAATCAAATTATTTCCTCAGGGAGAGGAAATTACACAACTATGTAATTTGTATGACTTTTGCGTCAGGACATGTTTCGGTTACTAAATACTGACAAATTGAAACGTTTTAAAAATAACATTACATATGACGAGTTTCATACAAACATAAATATTAACAACAATATTAACTTTTCATATAGTATTTACTTTATCCTTTCCTCGTTATATTAATTGCCTTTCCTGTTCCTTGTTAAATTCTTACCTTTGTAAGTCCCAAGGCTCCGATGTTGCCGCCGTACGTAGTGGTAGCATGACCACATCCCATGATTCCTGACAAAATGCTACCAAAGCCTTCAACAGCAATGCCTCTGTTAACTGCATAGCGGGGCAGTGGAGGCACGTTACACGTCCTTGCACATGCGTAGTAATCCCCGATTGAATCAAGAATTGAGGTAAACGTTCCAATGAAGAAAGCAATAAATACCCCGGTGTCGAAAGACGGCGTTCCAAACCGACCTGGATCAGAAGAATTTAACATTAACATCAGTGTGATTATTTAATAAACTATGTGATATGTTTTTTTTTTCAAGGATTTTTGAAGGTGAGACGACAACAGCGTCTACACTATAACTTTTGTTCTAGTTAGGATTTTTGAAAGGTCAGATGACATGACAGAAAATTATTAAAAACAAATAGTCGTCAGAATATGTGCAACAGGAAATATTCATTTCCTCTTATTTTTTTGTCATGAATAACAGACATTCTTTCGTATTTGCGTCTCTATACCTATCTGTTTTCGTAGATATTATTGTTAATATTGTAATTAACATCCAACAATGAAAGCAGCAAGATCCTAATTCATGATTACATCATGAGTTTGTAAATTAGAAAAACAAACTTGGGTTGGGAAATTTGAACCAGTTGGCCTTTGTGATAATGTCAGCTTGTGCGTCCGTCCTGGCCATGTACTCTGCCTTGGACGGATCATCTGTAAGTACCCCTGTCAACGTCAACACAGCCGACAAACCCCAGCCGACTAGTATACCAATCAGAATCTGAAACACAACAAAACGGACAAGTAAAGTACACGTACGTCTAAAAGAAAGCAGAAAGCAGAAAATATGTTTGATCTGAAATCATCTCCAATATGATTATGAATGAGTAATATCTGTTATGCAGATACCCCATTTTGTTGATATTGTCAAGTTCTCTCATTAGCATGGCCAATTAAGATAAATAGTTTATATCTTAAAAGCATGTATTCTTATTCTTCTTCAACATCAGCAGTAACTGACAAAATTTCAATACAAATATAAGTTACAACCGAAAACATATCTTCTGAAGGCTACCTAATTTATCAGAATAATTAACGTCATTTCATTTTTGGTCTAATTGTCTCTTTTTCGTTAACTTCAAAATTAACTGCGCAAAAAAAACCTTTCTCTATCTGTATGACCTATGGACCCACGTGATTAATTTTTACTTTAAATCTTTCCTTTATCCCGAGCCCCTTTCTCTTAACTCCACCTTCCGACCCCTCGTTCCAGTTTTCTATTGGTCGTTAAATAAATATCTTTCGTGTTGTTAGTTAGATAAACTGCCTCTTTTCTCATATCAGTACTACACTTTTCATATTAGAAAAAGTACTGAAACAAGCTACATGTATATTATGCAATTATGGACATTTTATGAGGTCATAGTTTTGTTATATATGCACAAACCTGACAATGACATATTGACCGAGGACGAACTGCACATGATCTCTTGTTCAATCAGAACAAAGACAAAAAATTGACTGATGTGTCAGAGGAAAAATAATCTGAGCAAAATAAACACAGTGTGCGGTCATTTCATTGACGAAGATAGTTTACACTGCAGTTACCGAAAACACTTGGTGAAAGGGATACCAGATGAGATGAAATCCTTTTTTCTTCGACCAGGCAGGACAGGGCATCTTCCTGTTGCTGAGATACAGAGACAAAACGAGAGCGGTGGCAGCTGTGCTGTATAACAAGAGAAGTCGAAGGAAGAGTATGATATTGTAAACACGTAGTGATGAGGTATATACCTATGCTACATGATATTTAGTGATGTTATGAAACGATGAGTCAAATATAAAGATTTCCTACCAGTTTTATACATGAAAGAATAATATGCTAGATAAATCTTTGAAATTATTTAAAAGGAAAGATATTCCCATGTGCCTCCATGTAGGTTACAGGCCGCTGTTTTTTTAAAATAATATCGTGTTTACTTTTATTTAGAATTCTTCATATCCTTTTCCTTACTTACACAGAGGACAGGCCCCAATGAGTTCTGGCGAACTTTGCATTGGCCTTCGACATGAAAATACCAGCCAGTAAGATAGACGGGACAACAGTGATAGGCCCCACGAACTTCAGAAGAATACCTGCCGCACCGGTAAGTCCGACCAGAGAGTGGATAACTCCAACCAGGATCAAACAACCTTGAAACTGTCTCAGGGAAAATGCAAATTCTTAAACAAATACGTTTATAGAATCAAACAGAACAAAACTACGTTACAAAGACCTTGTATAGTCGTTTAATTTCACTTTCAGATATATCAATTACGTCTTGTCTTTAAATAACAAGAGATTTATTGACCAAGTTCATGGTATATATCTACCAGAATTGAAAATCAAGGACATGATTCTTCTACATCAGTCGCTTATCTCGATCTTTTCCTACAACAAGACCAACGTTGCAAGTGTTTCACTAGATATACGATAATTTCATTTTACCTATTGTAAATTTTCTATTTCTTGATAGCTGCCACTTGTTTCCCCAACCTATGAAGTTTACATGTTGCAGTGAATCGATATTCAAGGGCATGTTGCCATTATCATGATTTTCGTCCAAGTCATCAACTTACTCGTAAAACAGAGTTTCAGTAGATGCAGGTTGATGAAAAATATTAAAGTTTTACGGTCGTCATTAAGATCACGTTGAGAAATATTCTGTTCCTTTGTGCGACATGAAGTTTGACGTGTTTGGTGTTCGTTTGTTGCTCGTTGCAGTAAAGGACGTGATATTGCTTACTCTGATTGAACAGGATATACATGACTGGCGTCGTCCATGAAGCAGAAGATACTTAATCTTCCGGAACACGTAGTGTCATTCTCCTTAAACGTTTTTAACAAGCCTTCAGGTTAATATTCTTGTTGCTCATATTTTTGCCAATGATTAGGTGTGAGTTTATATGATTAAGATTTTTGACATGTTGGTATTTTCTTTCTTTCTTTTACCATCGATCTTATAACCTAGCTAATTGCAAATAACCTCGAATAGCGATTATTAGGTTGCAATTTACATGGTTACTATATCGAATACAGTTACCGAAGTTAAGTTGTAAAACTTAAAAGATGTATTCCTTTCCTACCTTGCTTAGTTTGGCAACGGCAATTTCTCTTTTTAGCCCCATTAGGTGCATGCTTGTTGTATTGCTTCGGAAACTGGGATCCATGTCGTCCATAGTCATACTGACATTGAGAATTGGGTTCCTGAGCAGTTCTGAAAAGGTATGGAGTGTTAACATACTGTACTAAATTATTATTGACGTGATGTTAACAGGTGTTTCACATGCAAATTTGGTTCTTACCGTCTGGTACATTACAAGCATCCGGATTTATCATATGCATAGCCACCAAGGGCACGACGTACTCGGATGCAGGACCTTGGAACAGTGGAAGCCTGATGAAGATGAAACAATTTACACTTATGTGTTTGATAAAGATTCTGTGCAATACAATTCATATGTGTACTGGTTGTGAGTGATATGGTGACATTATCAAATTGTAATGAATTAATATGAACGATGAGAAATGAAAAAAAAAAATAAACTGGGTGTAAATTCCATGTTGTCGAACTAGGTGATCAACAGTCTCATTTTATCATTATTTTTTTAATGCACATCATTTAGTCCACAAATGATAAAGTGGTAATAGAATATATTATATCTCAGGAATCTGTGGCACTCGGGTTTGACCTTAAGTATGACATAATTCAGTAAGTTTGATTTTATTGTTTGACTTATCTTCTGTTACTGTATTTGGCGGTAAACACTTAATATCCTGTTTCCTAGAATGTTTGTTGTTTGTGCACAGTTTGGAGACCTTGACGCCAATTTGGGGGTATATTTCAATAACATTTTATAGTGTGTTGTTATCACAAATCACAAATATGTGAAGCTGACTAGACGGTTTTGTAGAATCAGACAATAACTATTAGATTATGTTTTGGGTAAAATATTTGAAAAAAATAAAGTACATTAAAATTTCCAAATCAAAGCAAAAAGTATTTCTTCAAAATAATCAAATGTCAGGGCATTGAAAAAATATTTGATTTAAGCCATTTTTAAATACAGTTTTGAGCTCATGAAATCAAATGGAAAAAAAAACTTTTCCTATTATTCCCGATGCATTCTTGTATGTTGTCCTGATAGAGGACATTTGTTTTAAAAAAGAGGTCCATGTGTGTATCTGATGCTGAGTTTATTGACCCGTCAGCGGCCAGCAATTACTTCTAGCAACTGGTGGTTAACTCAGTGAACAACATACAGAAGGCCCGTCGCAATAAAATAGATTACGCACCTCAGATCTTCACCCGATATTACGTAGTCAAACGCTCTCATTGACAGAACTATTGAAATCCTAAATTGTTAATTGCGTTTTTTGTCATGGTTTTAGCTTATCACATTATTATGGTGGTTACAGTAATTAGTATCAAAATAATGCCGACGTCCCTCATTATTGATAAATTAATCTTACCTTGTCCCCATGGTGACCATTAAGAAAGTGGTGACTCCATTCATCAGTAAAGTAGAGCTTAGAAGGTCCCTCCTGATATCTGGGAATTCGTTCGCACAAGCGATGTCTGATACAAAGGATGAAACAGCCAGGGAACCCGACAAGGAGATCAAAGCTTGCTGGAAAATGAATGGGACATATCACTTCGAGATCTACTACAGTTTTTCCCAAGAAAGCAAAGTTTTAACGATAAAACATCCAAATAAAACCGTAAATGGGGAAAACTTACCTACTTTACATAAAGAGGGAAAGAATGCAAAGCTCTATTCGTCATGACGACAAATAATTGACAACGGCTGGTCAAATTTTCAAATCATATATCTTACATTCTTGTGATTGAGCGCAAAACGAAAACAACTTTTTCTTCATAAAAATGAAGAAACTCGTCCATAGTATAACCGATCTTGGCTTTAGTTTTCTTTATTTTCTGAAATGCTCTTAAACTATAACTTGCCACTGAAAATTTGAAGTATTGCCGACCCATTTAAATCGTTAAGGTTACCAGTGACCATTACAAGGACTACCACATCTTATCAGACTGTCATATTCTGTTCAGACTCTAAAACATTTTTGTTTCATTTATTTGAAAAAAATGTGTATCGGTATCAACGACTGTCTATCGGAATATTAACATATTTATAATTAATAGATTTTCAAAATTTTACATTCGGATCTTTTTAATTGTAATAAATACTTGCGACCTTTAGAGATGTTGCATTTTGAAAAAAACGAAATCCATGTCAAAAATTAGAATCCAAAATCAAACTTCATAAAATTAAGTCAAAGTGTGAACACAAACAAGAAAAAATTGAATGCAGACTTCTTCTGAAAACGTACAAGGAGAAGAAAATCAGTTGTCCCTGTAAAGCCAGCGTCTTCTTCTTCATCAACGACAACTGCCATGTAATGGTTCATTTTGTTGGTGCTGAACACTTTCAAGTTTATGAACTCAATATACCAGTTTAAAACTTTGAATAGAGTGACGCAATGACAATTAAATATGTTAATATGGCTAGCGGGATAACCAATGATATAGAAGATAAGTTTTAAATGCCGAACGAAACATTTTTGCTAAAAGTGGTCTCTGAATAGACACAGGAAAATAACTTCCCTTTCTATTTATATAATATATTCGACTTGATTGTAAAGACCAATCCACGGGAGGAGTTTGTATTTATCAGGTAGTTTATTCAGAAAACTCAATATGCTGATTAACAACGCTTTATGCTATATCATGATGACTCAACATTGTGTGTAATAAAGAGGTCCCCCACAAGTGGTGTGTAAAAGGTAGGACTAACACCGTTTAGTTACCTGAAAGGCAAAGAAAATAGCAAGGCGGATGGGAACTCTATCCGAGACGTTGTACAAAAGCTTCGGAACTTCTTCGTACTCAATCGTCACCTCGTCTTGACCATTCGGACCCACATTCTCTCCCGTTTCGTCCGATGAAAGTCTGTCATTTTCAAACATTGTGCTTCCTGGATGTTTAACTGTAAAAAATAATTTGTTGAAAATTATACCTATTCATTTAGAATGAAGAGCAGGTCGGAAACTGAAGCAAAGAGTTCTCATTTTCAAAAGATGAAAGTGTACAAACTTTCTGTTTTCACTTTTCCGGAGAAAAAATTATTTGGTTTTATAAAAAAATAACATTTTCATTGGTTTCACTGCTCCCTAATGATAGACATTAAAAATTCCAAACTGGTTGATAAAGCGGCAGATTAAGGAAACCATTTAGATATCCCGCGCTGGCCTTTTCTGAAATACCACACATATACGAAAAGACAACTATGCAACTCCGTTATTTTAACTACAAATTAATGTGTAATTGAAAAAATGTATCTATTTGTGCTTTTCTTTTACTTTCAACTAGTATTAAAACAAGTTTTAAAATCGATGGGAGCCGTTACATAAGTCATTCAATAACCCACGCAGTTGGGGTGGGGGGAGATTCAATGAAACTGGATAATATCAAAGTTCTACCGCATTAGTCGCCTCATTAGGGTAGTCATTGTATTCAATCAGGTAACGGATGTGTTCTCAGTCTTATCAAATCATGTAAGCAATATCAACTTCAGGTGTCCGCTGTAGCCCATTATATATTTGCCTACCAGAAGCTATGATAGTCATATTACATGTCAAGTTGCAAAGTTTCGCTTGAAACTATCCTTCGGATTCCGAGAAAAGTATCAGAGAAAGGGAAGCGAAACAATAAACATAATTTTGTTATTAAATAAGAATTGACATTTTGATTCTAATGTTTATGCCAATAGGCGTAGTGATTAAACAATAACTGTTTTGAGGACATCTTGATTTCATGTAAGTTAGATGTTCTGACAACAAGGGGACAGTGTAAAAGAATTACTTTTGAAATATGATGTATGCGTGAGTTGAAATCCAATGCAAAATGTCATATCTTTTAACTGCGCGTTAAGACGTGTCAGTATTGACAAACTTCTACAGCATCCTGCTCAACTCTTAAAGCATAAATACGATATCTACTCATCGTTCTTTTTCTATCACATCAATTAATCCATAAGAATTACCTTCAAAAACAACAATAAAATACCAACATTCTTTTACGAAAAGAAAGATTTGCAAAAATAACGTTCTAGTTCCGAAATCATGTCAAAACGTCGCGTGCTTCCTGTCTCGCTATCAGGTCCATACGGATTTATTACATTGAGATGGCGCCAATGTGAAATAGTGACTGGGCCACAGATATTTGTTGAAGTATTTTCAGTTGGTTCATGGACGTGCATGGATGACAAGTTTAGGTCATGTCTAAACAAAGGCATACTTGAGATAGAAGTGAAAAGTAAATAGTCTTGACCATTTTACTGGTAACAAAAAAGGTGTTTTTGGCTCAGCTGGGACATTACTAGTTAATTTCTTTTATTATTTTTTTTTGCTCTGGTGGTTTTGTATGAAACTGGTAAATCCCTTCTATTTTGTAAAATGTTTCATTTCGACAACTGTATCCTGCGTGTCATAGGACCCAAATATCATATGTGTAAATACGGCGGTATTTAACATAAAGTAGAATATAAACCAGTTAACTTGTTATAATTGAATAAGTATTTGTATAATCATACTATTTTTATTCTTTTTCTATTTTTTTTTATTAACTTATTTTCCCTTATCCTAATTATGTTTCTATGAAACTAGTGAATCAGTTTTGTTTGGTTACAGGCCCCAATATTAGGAAATTAGAAAAAAAATCTTATAAATCCTTAGACAAATCTTGATTTTAAATACTTCTTTTAAATACCTATTCGCGGTAAGGCTGCAATGACATAATAAAATAAATGGACTAAAAATAATAAATCCTTCACTTGGTTTCCAGGGACTTGATAATTAAACTGATGCCAAATCTTTATACCTCAATAAATACAAACTACTGTTTGTTTGTGGGATGCTCAAAAACGTATAAATAGATTCAATTGATAAAAAGGTCCACCAGAGAGTTATAGAAATATATATGCTGACTATCATTTTCATTAAATATTAGCCAAAAGGAAAGCAATAAAATTACGTTTTAATGCAACGTGTCTGATTTCCCAACAACTATCGTGTAATACTGTTTGAAGACGTTGCCAGCACTGTCACTGTGATATGATGTTCTGTGTTTCTTGTACCAAATCTGGTAAACAATATGACATCAAAAGTCGTATAAAAGTACTTTACACTAAAGATAAGAAATATGTTTACCAAACTTATGGCAAAATCTTATATCATATTTTTATCTTACAAGACAAAGTTGACTTACCTCGATTGACTGACCTTCCTCACATCACCTTACTGGTTTAGATTTCATTCATATACACTCACATAGCACCATGAACAATGACAGCTGCGTTAACAAAGCATTTTGATATTATGAGCAGTCACGTCTTATGGCGATATCACCTTTTAACGATGTCTAAATGTATTCATAATCAGCACTGATACACAATCTATAGAAATATTTTCTTGTAAACATCACACCCGTTTGTTTTACATTTTCTCCTAATAGAACGCATGTAGACTTTTTTGCCGACGCTGGTGGATGTCGTTCGTCGCACAAACGTTTTTAAACTTTTGACCTGCCCTTTCGCTGACGTACTAAATTCAGGATATTTTTTTCTCTTTTGTAGCTACACTATCTAGCTAAACTACAAAACATACCGTAATTTCTCAACCTAGTATAACACTTAAGCCCTAGAGAGTAGTTACCAGACATGCTGATATTACTTCACCTATCTTATGATTAGCTTCTTAATTCCAGTTTCAGATATATCGATAATGTTTTTGTCTCCTAAACAACAGGAAATTTGTTGAACACATTCATCGGATAAACACACTAGAACTGGAAATCAAGGGTACGACATAATCTTCTACATCAGCCGTTTATCTGGATCTTTTCCTGCCACGACATCAACATGGACAGTTTCCACCAAGCTGTATGATAATCGCGATGATTTCGATTTCTAATTGTGAATTTTCCATTTCTGGATAACCTGCCTGCCCTCAAATGGATGGTGTTTATATATCGTAATTGATTAACACGGTTTTCGTCGTGAAGAGACGGACAACATCATAACACAAGGTTTCAAAGGATGCAGGCTGGTGAACATTTTGGGGATTTTGCGGTTGTCATAGTGATCTCATTGAGAAATAATTTATTTGTTTGTGCTGGATGTGTTTGATGCTCGTTAGTTCTCATTTGAGAACGTGAATTACTTACTTGGTTCGATTTAGTTTAAGTGAATTTGAGTTCGGATTATAACTATGTTGACATGTTGGTATTTTCTCAGTATATCGTAGTTATACTTCATTGTTTACTGAAGGAAAGCCTCCGTTAACTTGTTAAAAGTACCGTGAAGTATATGGTTGCAAACTACTGACAAATATTTATAAAAATACATTGTACGTCCAAATGAAAGAAGAAATATATGGAGAACAGAATCATAAAAATGATCGAATTTCTGGTTGAAATTATCTTCGTCGAGGTTGGCGGTGATGTCATTTGGCATACATGGAAACAAACTAAGCAGTCTACTCTAAGTGTAAAATTCGTATGTTAGGACTTAAAAAGAGAAACCTGCTCTTTGATGGGCTTCATTTCATCGCTTAGCTTTATTGTATCTTATTCTAATTTGCATTGAAAATAGTGTCTTTTGTATAGTCTTCATTAGCATCCATTTCACACAATATTACATACGTGTGCTCCTATGGTGGAAGTGCAACAAAGATGAAGTGCTTTTCGATCATCACGCTGTTGTACATAGCCACATGCCATCCGATATCAAATCAAGGTACAGATAAACATTCCTCTCTGTAGAATGGATGTCGTCTACGAATCAGATTAGGTGATAAAGCCAATGGTATACTACTAGAAATATGAGATGTTTAATATTTTCTACTGACCTTATATATATACCAGCAAATTCGATCCTTTTGACCTAGAATATAAGTCGAGATGATTTTTTCGCAAACGTTGTCGGACTCCATCCTATGAACATACCAGCCAAATGTGTTGCCTCTTGGTCTTTCAGTTCATGAGAAAAAGTCCAAATGTTTTGAAAAATTAACGGCATAAGTTCACTTGGACCTTCGGACCAGGTGAGCTAAAAATAGGGGCGAGGTTGTTACATTTACATAATATAAACTTTATCTATTGTGAAACAAGTTATTTCAACTTATACTAATAATTCTTTCTGGCCCAGATGTAAGCGCGCGAGGGGTCTTATTGTGGGAGGAAACAGGAGTACCCGGGGAGAACCCACGTGGTCGGGCAGGTGACCCCATACCTTTTCACGTCTGTTCCTGGAATTAAACCCCGGACGGCCAGTTGAAAGGCGAGTGCGTTACCACTGCGCCACCCGTTCCACCCACTGCTACTCGAAGTTGAAGACAAAGTATACAACCTTTTGAGATCGAATTTTTTATTAAGCAAAGTTTATTTAGGAGAATGGAATTTTCTGATGTAAATTTTACAAAGAATATATTGAAAAACTCAACTGGTACTTGGCAACAGGCTTTAGCAAGTATAAGCCGGACAAAGCGGGATAAGGTAGACAAACGGATAGCAATCAATCAATCATTCAATGTGCACCTTACTAAATGCTACTAATCTCCGATATGCTCTGAAATGAGACAAAGCACGTGAGATGTAAAGCTACATTATTTACCTGGAGATGTAAAGCTACAGTATTGACCAGGAGATGTAAAGCTCCAGTATTGACCGGAAGATGTAAAGTTCCAGTATTTACCGGACAATGTAAAGTTCCAGTATTTACCGAGAGATGTAAAGCTCCACTATTTACCGGATGATGCAAAGCTTTACTATTTACCGGAAAATGTAAAACTATTATATTTAGTAATATAGTAAAACTATAGGGAAATGTTATCTTGGCTTATTGTATGTTAAGACATTCTCAAACATTATCTCTGAATAAATTATTCTTTGAAAAACATGAAACACAGAAATGTGACAGGAATCTGAATGTAATATGAATCAGCTTTGAAGTAGAAAGACATTTTAAAAGATAACGGACCAAAAGGATGTACAAAAATTGAAAATCATTAATTGATTGGCCATGAATTGCTTCTGTTGTTCTCATTGTTCTCAACATCAGATCATGTTGTACATATGTCATATCTACCGCATCACTTTGCAGAAACTATTGCTTCCTGTTGGTAACGTTGCCAAAGTCTCTCCATCACTTCTAGCACATGATGCTTGTTCATTTAGGACAGGTACTTTTTATATCCTCCGCAGCTTTATACTGACAGAAGGGTAAGTACTTCATCCCTCTCCACGACAGCCAGCGCGCGGGTATAAGAGGAAGGTACACTTCCAATCCCTCACTGTATGTCTGGGATTGTCCAGTTTTCTCCGGCTCCTGCCATGCTGTTATACCTCTTTCTTTCGCTGTACCTGTCAACATACATTACAGTGTCTTATTATTTTATCATTATTTGGAATCAAAACTAATTGACGTTACAGTTAACGCTATACTTTATAGATTTTTAACGTTCTTGTGGTGACGGTAACGACTAAGTATGTGTATCTCGTGGTACTTTGATTCCTACCTTGACTTAGTACATTGCTATACAATTTATCGTTTGACACAAAACCTCTATAT